AAAAAAAATTCGACCGACCGACCCAATTTTCAGATTTCATGTAATGTTAAACGAAAAATTTACTTTGCGTGGCCTTATATGTATTTAAATGTATTTACTAGTAAATATATTTAAATACATATAATACCCAGTAATTAAGTTATAATTTATACTATTTATTACGAGGTATTATTTAGTTAAAATATAATTTTTTTAACCAGTGACTCATACGCGTTATTTCGAGAATCTACAACCATAATACATCCGTATGCTAAGATAGAGGTACCTCTATAAAATAAATTTATACTTTTAGTTTAACTAATTTACTGCAACCCAATAACTATTTGTTCCAATTCCAAATAATCTTTCATCATATATTTATAAATTGCAGTGTTTTCCTGTCTCGGCTGCGCCACTAATTCATTACCATTTTCTGACAAATCATTAATATTAAAGTCTGATCGATAATTATTCATAAACTTACTAAAAGCCAATCTAGCTTTAATTGCAGCACCTAATGATGCACTATTTGTAGCATTAAACCTCCAAACCTGCACACCAAAAACATCAGCCAATACTTGTAAAATCTCATTATTCTTGCTCGCTCCTCCAACCACTAAAACTTTCTTAACCAATTCAACTTCTTTATTTACATTTCTATCATCTGATAATAATTTATCAACTCTTAACTTCATTGACATAAATTGTGATTCAACTACTATTCTAATATTGCTCTCTGGCATATCCTTGAAATCGTCAGCCATATGTTTGTTGAAAAAACGATAAATACCTTTAGCAAATGGAATAATTTCTTGATGCACAAAATAAAATCCGTATTTTTTAGGGTCTGGTGATGAAACTGCGAGAATCTCATTGAACCATTTCCATTTTGCAGAATCACTATCCTTTTCATTATTTTGTTTGCTGTTATTGTAATAAAGATCTCTAATATATTCTCTAGTTAAGCTTCCATTCTTATAACATAACATAGAAATATACAAATCTTTATTAATCGGGTGACATAAAGTGTGAGATTCAAGCGTTGGATGAGGATTTGTTGTGTAACATAGTACAGTGTCCGATGTGCCTAAAGAGATTACCACATCGCCTGGTGATAGTTGTAGTGAGAGGAGGGTTGCAGGGTTGTCACCCGTAAAAGGAATTATTTTACAATCTAGATGAAAAATTATATAACTGAGTTAAAAGATTAATATATTGTAAATCTATAATATTACAATAACACAACTTTACCGCTGCTAAACCCATATCTCTTAACAAAATAATCACTAATATTTCCTAGAATTTTTAATCCATCACTTTCAGGAACTCCAAGTTTTGCTTTTAATTCTTCACCAAATTTAACATCATTTTCATAAGCGTGAGTAGAATATTTGCCACAAATATCTAATAACCTATCGTCCCAATTTTTTGTATTAATGTCAAGTAAATTCATTCCTGATCCATCTGCTATATCAATTGGAGCAAAATCACCAAGAAATATTGAAGCGAGAAATGAGCTAACTAGAGATATTCTAGATGTTTGAAGATATTGAGATGGAGATTGAAGGCAAATCTAAAAGAAAATATGTTGTTATTTATTAAAAGTCATAAATACTATAACAAATTTTAATTTAAATAATAACCTTTGAAATTTGATTACCAGTAAACCTTTCAAAGCCTTTAGAACCACTAATACGTGCCAATACATCTGGTCCACCAATTAATTTTTCTAGATTTTGACATTGTAATGAGGTACTTGAATCTTGCCATGTTGGAGAATTTGTGATTGCGAATACTTTATTAGATTTTAATTGAGTGGCTAATGAATATGATGAATTTAGCAAATTTAAAGTAGATTGAGAAGTAGTAGACCAGTATACACTTCCATGTTGCTATTTTGTTAAGAAAAATTTAATTTTAATAAAGAATTTTCGAATAAACTAGTATATACTTTATATACATACCTGGCCAGCCCCAGAAATCACTTTGACTTTAAAGAAGGGAAATTCTTGTGATTGAAGTTTTTCAAGTAATAAATCTATGGATTCTACCCACATCATTGTAGGACAAGTCACAACGTTTTCATTTGTTATTACACTATTTTTTATTCTATGATTGAAATTTATCATTTAAAAAATATATATATTTAGGCGTTGACGTTAATTTACAAGAACAGGAGAACGTACCCATATTTATCCCCAAACTCATTATCAAAGTGCACAGATTCTTCAAATACTACATGGCAATTATCATTTATAACCGTAAGTTTTAGTGCTTGAGTTGACAAATCTAGACCGACATAAAGGGTTGTTTCATTTAAAAGATTTGACATTTTTTTAAAGCGATGATCATGAAAACTCCCCAAAAACTGTTCCTTCCCGTGACTTTGAGATCAGGTGTAACATAATGAACTAACTTTTTTTACGTACAGTACAAAAAAAAAAAAAAAGGAAAAAACAGAAATACCCTCTCGTTTCTAATTCGAATATTTGTATTTCTCCTTTATTTGTTTTATACTTCTAGCAACAAAAGACACCTTTATTATTTTCTTTGCTTCTATATTTTTATTATTATATAGTAACATTTACATGATATCACTGATTTTGTCGCCGACAAAATCGGCCGACTTAGGTTAGAGTTGGTCTGATTTATACGTAATTAGCGATGGCTGGGGTAGTTTGTCGGCGAATTCTACTAAAACAGCTTACATGTCTAATGATGACAATTTATTGCGGTTTGCAAAATTTTGTAAATTTCGCAGATCAAGAAAAAAAAAGAAATCGCACGATTTCTAAATTGTCATATTGATTTGTTTTAAAAAATCAGAAATCACTTAGAAAAATCGTGCGCTTTCTTTTTTTTTTTTGATCTGCAAAATTTACAAAATTTTGCAAACCGCAATAAAAGCAAAAATAGAAAATTGGCGACAATACGAAGAGTCTCAATTTATCAAAGGGACTTAAAAATGAAAATGTTAGGAAAGTGATTGTTGGTGAATTGGTTGTGTCGAAGAAATAAATATCAGGAATTCTTATCAGAAAATGATTGGGACCAAGTGTAAATCCAGAGATACACGCATATGTGCGGATACTGCAATACATTTTAGTAATTGACTTAAAACTGCGATGACTAGGTTGAGCCGGCAAACTTGATTGGCACAAGCCAACAGAAATACTGTAATATCTTAAGTCTAGTGTTAATTTTTCAGTTAAAATTTACTGTGCGGATACTGCACAATTTGAAAACTTTTCTGTGCGCAAATAAAGGAAAACTATAAGCAACTGTTTACAAGTGTGCGCACTATTAATAAAATGTCAATTTTTTCTGTGCGGTATTCGCACATCAGTTCAAAAGAAAATGTGCGTAAAATAATCACTGCTTAAGCCTATCGAACACAGTTAAAATCGAATCGGTTAACTGATTAGATTTTTTACTTAATTCAAACCACTACCGATAATTATGATAAATTGCAAAATAAAAAGTATCCTGACATATCATACCTCTAAATTTGTATTATTCACAAAACCCTACACAA